AGTATCATGATAGGCGGAGAGGGACAAACATGTCAGCGTACGATGGAACTGTTGACGGCTTGGGTCATGGAAAAGTGGGGCAAGGGAACTACAAAGAGTTTGAAACCATATTTAGTCTGCATTATTAGTTAACGTACAGATTAAGCATTCTTAGTTGGCCTCTTAAGCATGCCAGTCGAACCGGGATGCTATTTAGTGTATTCCACCCGATGTAAGCGATTATTTCAACGAGATGTGGACTTCCACGTAGGGGTGAACTAGTAATCCGGTTTGCTGCGGTAGCGCGGCAGATCTAGGTTTGCACTCTTTCGAGCTAGTATCGTCGTGGGAACTCCGTTATAAGGAGGCGAACAGAGGAAGTGCTACCAACGTTTGAGATGGGTAAACGCTGGTTGCCATTTAGTGTCGAACACACCAGGCTATGAACGGCGTTGTTAGATAGTTAGAGTGAGCTGGAACGTTAATTTTGCGCGATATACCATCACTGCGAGTGATTATCGATTGGGCACTGCGAACTTAATACCTGGACTCCTCTCAACTTATGGAAGACATATCGTATGGTAAATATAACTTACTGTAACTACCTAAAATGCAGGCAAGAAGGTCGCTCCCAAACCCGATGCTTAATTTGTATCCGATAGTCACAACACCATATAATGAAGATTAAGCTGATAAACGGTTGTGACAAATGAGATCTTCTTAGTGTGGTCAGCATTCGGGCTGAGCCCACCACACTGAGACGTATCGCGCGTTACCAATAAATTTCGCGGGACAGGTTCCGCACTGCTAGCTAGAAAACCATTTATGTACATCCCGAAGGAGAAACTTTAAATTGGTAAGAAAAACCAGAAAACCGTCATTGTTTGCGGTGTTGCGAACCATAAGGTTTTTCCATTTAAATTGATAATATTAGAAACAACAATCAATCTATGTATGCGACTGTAAGGTATGCGAAATACATGTGAAAAAGCATCAATTCGGAACTGGTCACATGCGCCAGAAGAAAGATGCTTGAAGCTCCAAGAGTTGTTATGTAAATTGTAGAATGGGATTCATAGATAGGTCGACAAATTTGATCCACCAAGGAATTCCACAGAATTCTTTACTAATTCTTAGTTCTTAATTCTAATTCATAGTAAAAGGGACAGACTGACCAGCTGCCCAACGAAATCGGACTCGGATGAGTACAAGCGGCACGAAATACAAAAGCCGGCAAACAACGCAATTAAAATCGTCACCCGCGAAATCTCTACAATCCAACCCCCAAACTTAGCCTCCTGTGCACTTTAATCTGTCCAGTTTGTCGCATATTCCTTATGTCTGGTTTCTCCTGAGTTTCGACACACTCTTTGATGATGCCAGATATGTGGGTCGACTGCTTCATGCAACATAGGGTTATGCCACTCCCCGTGTTAATACTTGTGTCCCAAGCTGTCCCTCACCTGTAATGCCAATGCCCGAGGCATATAAGCCGCATGTACAGCCAAGGCAGCATACACACAAAAAGATGCCATCTCCCTCCACTGCTTTATCCACCTTGTAACCAACCCTTCTTACAGCACCCTATGCTATGATGCTCACAATTGGAAAATAGCGTCAGTCGAAGCGAACGATTCATCTCTTGTATACTGTGCCTGTCCGGGAGAAAGTCACATCTCTTATAAAGACTCATTATTTCAATGGGAAAACCATTTGAGCCAATGGTATGTAGCCGAAGTGTCAAGTCGTTTACAGAAACGTTCTAATCCACTACAAGACGCGCGTACCTACCTTCAATATTAGCTAGCAGAAGGGAAATATTAATCAGCGCAGCTGAAATAGCTAATCTGAATCGTGAACATTGCTGAGCTGAAGGATAAAGGTTCAGTTTTACGCACATAAGTGAGTTCTGGAGGTGGATAGCGATCGTTTCGTTTGTTGCTAGTAAGTGACACCTTACCGCTCGTGTGTGGCGTGCAGGTACGAAGTAAATGGGTTGGAAAACTTGGTAAGCATCGTATGTGGTTAGGGTCAACTAAAGGTACCGACACGACTCTCGTCCCACCGCCAAGCCCGGAAACGTTCAAGGATCCTCTTAGATAGCCTCTTAGGATACTTCTGATACATCTGGCTCGACAAGAAGAAGGTAAAGAGTACACACAGCAATTACTTGAAAGAGGAAGTTAGTCCTTGAGCCGCCGCCTCACGATATGCTGAAGTAAAGCTTAAACATAAGCTCGATGTAGAGTAGGTAGAGTCAATGGAGTCTGACAACCTTACAGACGCGACTGCGTAATTCCCTCCACTCTCCATTGATTTTGCACTACTTGTTTCTGAAAAATGCCCCAATCGTTGACTTTCGATTTTGGCTGGGATTGGGAGCTAGCAGAGGACTAGATCAATTCAACCGGAATCGCATAGAGGCAGATCTAACAGCACCCCTCGCGGACATAAGGCTGATCAAATTCGGATCGATGAGCCCATTGTGACGTAGTTTCCAAAGATTTTCTACTCCACTGCACCGAGATAAGCACGGACACGACTACTCGTGACCCCCAAAAGATAAAAAGACCGTTAACTTTAACAGAAGCGTTTTACAGACTTACGGTCTGTATTTATAGCACGAGTTGCTTAACTACCAGAAGGAATCAAAGCTACCACCTGATAATGCCAACAAAGATTGTTGTCAAACGTGATCGCAACTCGATAGCGGTATCACTGAGGCGACCACGCAATCAACGAATTGGTGACAGTGTCCCTTGGAGAGGGGTAATAATTGCCATCTATAAGGTCAAAGATGGCTAACTGCGTAGACGTTCCAAGGGAAAAGAACGGAAAAGGTTACTGGTGAGAAGATTTTGTGGAACCATGGGTACTCCATAACACCATTTCGATGCAAGCCGCTAAGGTGACCATAGATGTCAGGTTAAATTGCATGAATCACACTTAATCGTCCCGCCGTTTCGCTAAAGCCGTAATCGTAGCGAAGGCTTTATCAAAAGTTATCATCCCCGGATTGGGAGTTGAGTTACCTGAATTGTCGGCTGATTGCGACGATTACAAAAAAACATTTCTTAGTATTATTAATTCCAGTTAGACAGTTAATAAAATCAGTAAGTGGCAGATCAGCTCTAAATTCAACCCGACGTTTGATGCTTAAATGGAGGAAGTCCTATCTGGGGATCAAGAATATAATCTGCATGTTGGAAAGGTGCTGGCGGTTGGACTACTTCGAATTCAGTTTCTGTACCGGACTTTCCACTAGCCCTGCGAGTGAATGTTGCTCACCTCGCACTACCCACCGTTTGGCTCGGTTCTTGGACCTCGTCTATTCTTGGTGTTCATTAACGATTTGGCGAGATCAATTGCTTCCGATTTCCTATTCTTCGCTGATGATATCAAGATATGGCGAAGGATCAGAGGACCGGATGACCATGAACGGCTCCAGTGCGATCTTAACAGTGTCGAACTGGTCACTTCAAAACGCCCTACCGTTCAATGTAGACAAATGTCCCGTCGTACAATTACGCCATAGTCATAACTACACCTATCACTTGGGACCAACGGACTGCAGAATAGCTCCCAGGAACGTGACCTGGGTGTGATCGTACAGAGCGACCTCAACTGTTCAAAACAGGCTGAGGTGGCTGCGAAAAGAGGAAACCAGCATGTCGGCATGCTGCGAAGAGCATTTGGGAGATTTGACCCATCAATCTTCCCAAGGATGCACAATTCCTACGTGCACCCGCATCTGGAATACGCTATCCAAGCTTGGCCACCTTGGTTAAAGCGTGACCTAGAAGCGATAGAGACACCACAACGGACAGCAACAAAGAATGTAAAGGGCCTGCGCTATCACTCTTACCACCGAAGACTGAAGTTGCTGGGAATTTTCAGCCGGCGCTATCGAAGACTGCGCGGTGATCTCATATTAACGTATCAAATATTGAGTGACCCCAACCACGTATGCCGCCATTTGCTGAAACTTAGCGAAAACACGCAGCTCAGGGGTAACTGTTTAAAATTGAAGGAACAATATAGCCGTCTAGAGTGTCGACGGAATTACTTTTCCCTTCGGGTTTGCAAACCTTGGAACGCACTCCCAGGCTCAGTTGTATCCTCTCCTACCTTGGATGTTTTCAAAAAACGATTAGATGTTGCTCTTAGCTCCCAACATTTTGTTACCTAAACTCCCCTACTGTGGATTACGGAAAGGATACATTTCAACAGGATTTATGTATAAATGGACCTGAGTGAGCGACCATATTTTACTTTTCTCACTCTTTACCTCAATGATCACTGCACCCCAGTGTCTTACTGAACGTTTACGCTCGATAATTTATTTTAATTTTACACTGAAGTTACTTATCAAACTATTCATCTCGGCAGACGTTCGATAGATGACCCAGACATATTTTGATTTCATCATATTCACCTCAACCATCCTAAGGGACGTGTCAAGCACTTGCTTTTATCCCGTGATAAAGCATTGTTCATTGCGTGGTAGTTGAGGATAAGGCGTGCTATGGCACGCATAGCCAGATACTTGAACACTAGCTGCTACCATCCTCGGTGGTCTTAATGAATGTCTAGCAAAATGGGGAGCGCGGATCCTAGCGGTTCACTCGGTAGGCAGAATGTGTATTTCCGAGGAGTTCCAAAAGGATGAAGCGATCGTGCGATGCTTTTTCTCGAATGTATTGCAGCTTGTCTACTGAGTTTAGATGGGACGAATCTCATGTGAACTCAAAATCCGTATGTAGACAATTTAGGCTAATAATTCACATGGTGATCCCAATGATGCTTCAGTGCATGTCAGCATCATATTATTCATTGTATTCAAAGACAAGTGCAAAAATTAGCGAGGATTGCTGTAAGCTTCCAGGCCAGTGATAGAAATAGGAAACCAAGCACTATGAGTCAACTTTTAGTGGAAGGAGGACGTAGGAGGGCAGCGATGTTTCGCGAAAGTAAAAGTGTCAGCTGTTGGTGACTTTAGAGAAGCCAGAAAACCACACTTTGAAAGGAATGTCGGTATAAGTAAAAGTGCGAATCAGAAGATTAGTATTGGACGAGGTACGCAAGGAGAGGTAAAAAGTGTTGTGCAGAGTGAGACATGAGATGAAAAAATGATGGTGAGCATCGATAATATGACTAAGAAACACGAACAAGTATCATTCGAGCACAGCGTGGAAAAACAAAGTCAGAAGCACGGAATACGATCCTAGCTGCATAGACTTGTGCACATAGCTCTTTCGAGGATGATTGAATACGGTGTCATATAAGTTAGTGACAAGTCAATGGTCGACAGTGTTCGGAAGAGAGAAATGAAAGTAGCAAGTGAAGAAAAGGGTGCCGATCAGTGATACATACATGATTGCCAAAGAGGTGAGTGGGTTCGGTATATGGAAGTTAAAATGATTCTTAAAACAAAAAGAAACATGTAGAATTACTATTTGTGAACAAAAAAGTGAATGATCAGACAAGTGAATAAAAGTGTTCGTTCAATTGTCCTTAGGTCGACCTGCGTAAAATGAAGTTTCCGTGGGGATGGGAAGAGAATTGACTTTTTCACCTTTGGTAGGAGAAGTATACAGTTCGTTTAGGCAGATATCACAACTCCATTGTGATGTAGGAACCCGAGGGAGTGGAACAGGGAGACAGTCAATGTGAAAAGTGCGGTCGCAATCACTGCAGAAGGCCATTCGAGACTGAAGAGGATGAAAAAGAGAGAGGAACGAAACAATGCAAATGAGTTGTACTAAGGGGGAAGATCCATAGGCTGTAGACTCCGCACAGTCAATTAGCAAGAGCATCGGAAAACTTAGCAATTGAATGAACTAGACAGTGACCATACATTATCTGTATTGAAGCGTAGCAATGATAAAGTAATTAAGAAAGAATAACTCGTAACTGAATGGATGATTTTGAGATCCGAATGTCTGGGCAATGGCCAGAAAGCAATGCAGACATTAGACGGTCAGCACGAACACTGATGCAATCAGACAGTTAGAAAGCAACCGAAGTAGACACCCTGTAAATAGTTGGCGCCTTTAGAAAATGTGTAGAGATCTGTTGTAAGTTGGCATGATTGCATGCCAACCATGTACATATTTTTGTAGAACCTTTAGATTGATCTTTCCGAATAAAACACGATCTTTGAATCTGTTATGCATCCAACCATACAACAATCCTAAGGTCACTATCTCTCACTCCGTACAGAAGGGACGAAGTCGACAACAAGAAGGAACGGATTTTAGGACGATCAAGCAAATCTCTAGACCAGTCATTGATTTTTTCAAATGCAACAGGGACACAAGTACCACAGATAAGGGACGAATGCATTCTAATTCGCTGACTCAGCTGCAGCGCTAGAAGCGACCGAGTGAATGCTTCTTCGACGAGGAACTCACAGCGATCCATTGGAAATGTTGCTGTGACCACGAAAGTGCAAGAACAAAGCAACTGCACCACAAACTGGAGGTGGCCGTATTGACTTAAAAACTGTGATTGCGTGCACTTCATAGAAACCGAGTGGAGGGCGGCGTCAGATTTCTTTTTTAATTCGCAAATCCATCGAGCACCGACAGTTATTGCCTTGGAGTATCATGTTCTATCGGAGCACTTATTTGGAAGGTAGGATAATGAGATTGATCCAATCAGCAGTTCAGAAGTTTACATCCTAAATGTTTTGAAGACACTAACGGCCAATATCGTGTAGGTGACAGCATGTTAGCGACCCTAACTTCAGTGTAAGGCCGGTACCCGGTTCTCAGCAATTCTCCACCTAGGCGAACCCGAAGTTGTATATAATACTAGCAAGTCAAAGTTCACACGGAAAGAGGTTTTTCTGACTGGATGCATCCGCTGGTATTCGGTTTGAGAAGCAGTTGTTTCAAACGAAAATTGCGAAAGAAAAAACGATTGTGAAAAGTTATAATCATAAGGATAACCATGTGCGGCAGTTTCCTAATTTGGCCTGCTTATTGCATTTCGCAAGTGTCTGTTCCACGAAACCAGATATATGATTTGTTAGATCAGATTGCTTATTTGGATATTATTCATGCTTTTGACATCCCCAATCTAAAAAATGATGACTGCTCTTGTGATGTATCTAAAACCTCACAGTGACCTTAACCTATGCTCAAGTGCAATTGAACACCAACAAGATGTGCCCCAAATCAAACTGCTAAACCACATTATCTCCATCGAAGGGATCAGGACGGAGCGAACGAGCGCACAAGCGAACCCTGGAATCATGGCGCACTGTGATGTGGCCTGAATACAGCATGTTGTGGGCCTGCGCAAAATATTATCAAAACGAGAAATTAACCAGAGAAGAAGGACTCGCATGAAGCTTGGAATGCGAGAAGTGGCTGCTATCGTCACTTAGAAATCCATTCACATCGCGCCATGATTATGCAGCAGTAACAATGCTATTAAGAAGTAAAGACAATATTGATTGATGGTATATCTGCATGCTGAGGTCTAAAACTGAAAATTGATCGGACATCAGATGTGCAAAAAGATCTACCGAAGGTCTCTTGCCACCGCCAGAAAAGCTATCGAACCAGCCGAGAAAGATGAAGAGGAGGATGCCATAACGAGCTGCGACATCACACACAAGCTACTATCGGCTGCAACCGAAGTCAGCGTAGGTGTATTATATACAAAGATGAAGCAGTTCTGATGGGCAACAGCCAAAAACTCAAACTGACCACATCGCATTCATTTATCGTTGGTGGGGCTGCAAACAGAGTTGCAAAATAATCGTGCGCCCGTGTGTGCCAAAGCCGTTCTAAATTTTGGTGCTTCCCAACAGCGTAACCAGAAACGGCTTGTCATGGCTAAGCTTTCTGCCCAAGCGTTCTCAGCGTCTTTCAAGGTTGCTTTGGTCTCAGATCTCAGAAGCGTCTCGTGCTCTGTTGAAACGCACTGCACACATCCGTAGCGTCGTGCACAACTTAGCGACCCTGGTCTGTTGTTTTACCAGTGACATTATCAAGCATTAGACCATTGTACGGTCTCTCCAACATCTCAAAGCTCGTCGAGCGTTGGGTATCATTTACTGCACAGTACTACCGAAGTTGAACTCAAACAGCTCATCCGTGAGGATCGCGATGCATAGTGGCGGGTCATTGCGATGGCGCAAGCGGCTACTTCGGGGGATTTCAAATCCATTAGCGGCAAAAAGCTTACCGGAAGCAAAGTTATGCGTGAAACTAGTAGCGAGCCAATCGACTGTCAACAATGTCGAATAGCGCGTCGGGTTGAGCATCTTGATGAGCAGTTTAACTGGCCAGCAGCACTAGTGTGCTCATTCAGGAATCCAAAGTGCTGTCTGGAATGCAATCGCATCACCACCATATGAAAATGAGGTTGCTGATGAGCTTCGCCTCCTAAAGCGCTAAAAAGATGGTGCTTCATTTGTTAGCGAATTAACCTTCCTCCTCCAAAAGGTTTGGATAACCGAAGCAAACACGTCTGATAGTGTGCCCGTCTACAAAAAAGTGCCCGAAAAAACTGTGCTAAACATAGAGGGATTAGCTTCATGTGCGTTGTATCTAAAGTGGCTCGCCGCCCTGTATTTAAAGAGGCTCAATCTGATACGCGAAAAATTACGCGAGGAGCAAGTCGGGTGGAGTCGTGTCGATTACATCGTTACGCTCCGCCATATACTCGACATTTGGCAGGTGAGCAATCGTTGTCTTCTTAAACACACGTGCCGCGTTTGGCGCAGTTGACCGAGCTACGCTCTGGAGTTGTCTGCTGAGGAACGTCTGAAAAAAGATGTCGATATTCTTCCAACCGAGTGCGGAGGTACGTTGGATATTCGCTGCCCCATGTAGTAGGACCAGTGACGTGAGACAGGGATGCCCAGCATCACGTTTCCTCTTCAGTCTTGCAATAAACGACATACTGAAGAGCGCTCCTGGACAACCGCAAACCCAGACGGGTGGAGCTGCATCCGGTGGACCGAATTTATGGTCCGAAGAGCGCACACGTCATCGCCGCAATTTGTGGTTCCCCCAGGTCACCCAAAACGAGCTGGATAGTTTGGAAGTTGGACTGAATCACGGGGAATGCTGAGCTTCAGCAATCCGAAAATGCCCATTTATTAGAATGAATCAAGGGAGGCAGAATCTGAGTAAAGAATTCTTTTCGGTAATTCTCATCAGACACAAACACTACATGATGACGACAAAGTGCTAAATGTGCAGGATTGGAATGCGTATTGATCGGAACGTTTAATTCCAACAGGAAAAATCAATAAATCACGGGGGTCATTAAAGGTGGTAAAGTATATACAGGGGAAATCACAGCCGAAGTTGTAGGCCACAGTAGAAGTAAAGGATATAAAAACTGTTTTTGTACGCACAATTCTGGCCTGAGGTGGCAGATGTAGATAGCTTCCGCAATAGACAGGAGATGGTTCCGGAATACGCGCGCGAAACGTTCAGAGATCGTATAAATGACTCTGAAATCGATTTCCGTCCCTGTGTGACTGCACGCCAGGTGAGAAAAGATGGAGCTGTTACTAGACCTCGCTACACCTTTGTAAAACCACTTCGGGATGTGTTCGCGAATCATATGAGATACGCGCCTCGTAGTACGACCCACACATCGTGCACCATAGGAGCCCGAGTACAGATAAACAAGCATTGATCGAGTCCCCGGAGGCAGCCTGTCTTTCAAAGTTTTTGCGCATAAAGACTTGTTGTAAAATACCATGCGTAGGTGTGTGGGCAGGGCATCAGCCGCACTGTCGCCTTTGAAAGGAATATGCACAATTAGTTCCTTCTTGGGTACGTTCAACCTCGGTGGTTTTATCTTGCGTTCTTCTAAATGTTTGAGGATGAATTTATCTGGATACCCATTCGCTATTAGCGAGTCGCCGATCCTCTGCAATTCTTTGGTGATTGTGTCCGGTGTGCAAATACTAGGTGCCCGGAAGGCAAGTGTGCGGACTAGATTTCGTTTGTACTGTAGAGGTACCGCACTACAGAAGTTGATGTATTGTCCAGTCCAAGTTGGCTTTTTATACACCGCTCTGCAGCACGATGCAACATGGCACATTTAGCACTTTGTCGTCATCATGCAATGTTTGAGTCTGATGAGAATTACCGAAAAGAATTCTTTACTCAGATTCTGCCTCCATTGATTCATTCTAGTTTGGAAGCGTATATCTACAAGTTTGGAATCAGTTACAATCGATCGAAGTGAAACGGCTTCTTGCAGGACTTGTCAGGAGCTGCTTCTACACTAATGTTTCAGGTCAATCTCTAGAAGTAGTGGACAAGATCGTTTACATCGGAAGCTGCATATATGTATGGTTGGCAACATCTGGTTTCGGATTTGCCTGTCACTGTGGCCAGCCACGGAACGCCTGCGCCTACAGAGGGACTATGGGTGGCTTGCGCTGCACTACCCACAGTTCCAACCACACACACCAAATCCAGTGTAAACCCGAAGGAATAAGACCGGGAGGCATGTGGATGGGAGCCCCGTCTCGTCAACGGAGCCGGCCCACGCTCCTTCACAGGCA